TTGAATACCCGCACAATATCAAAACATTATTTATAAATTAAAAACATAAACTTAACTGTAAACAATCCTACTTTAACAGTTCTTATTGTGCATCACAGCCTTTTGTTGCGGCTTGGTTCAAATTAGCTATGTTGTCATGAATGAAAAATCAAATAATAGTGCTGCAACCTGTCGGTGAACCTCATAACTTTTAATAATATTGAATATCATAGAACAAATAGTGTAATTGAAACAGCTGACAAAATCCTTTAATCCCTTTTAAATATGAATAGTCATAAGGTTAACATAGGAAACTCCAGAGCCACTGGGGCGGAGCCCGAAAGGATTTTTTAGATATGAATATGTCTATATGTGAACATATTCATATCTCACAATCACAATATGAATCGTTCGGGAATGTGAGCTATCATCATACCAAATTTCAGTCCAATCCGACCAGTAGTTAAAGCGTGATTGAACTTCAAACAAACACACAAACTTTCACATTTATAACAGGCCCACTTTTATAAACGGGCAGACTGGGCATATGCCCAGGGGCGCCGGTGGTTGGGGGGCGCCCGAGGGGCGCCCTGAACCACCGCCCGCACTAGGAAAAATAGGGTTTTATCAGCCGGGATTTCAAAAATAAAATGGGTGATTTCAACTTGTAGTTAAGTGATTTTCCCTTATTGCAAAAGTTAATAAATACAACAAAATTGAAAATACTCGACCTTCAGATTATACCTCGTGTAGTCAGGGAAAGGCAGGCAGCAGTGTGAACCAGGCGCACTCACTATACTATCAGAGGCAGGGAGGCCTGCATGGTGGAAGGAAAATACATAGGTGTGCTATTCCCATCATATGCTGACGTCACTCAGATTGCAAACACCATTTTACCATTGAGAAAAATTATAAAAACACTAACAATCAAATCAAAACAAACATATACTTATATGGCAATACATCAGCTGATTTTTTGTTTGCAATTTGGGTGACTTCAGCAAATTACGGGAATAGCATGTAGGCCAGCTGTAGTCTACAGGCCTACGGTTCACGTGCCCCTCCTCTCCATCCCAGTCCCACCCCCATCCCCACAAGTCACAACTACCAACTACCGCGCGGCGCCAGTCCAGTTCCAGTACAGTACTTCTCCCTCAGTTGTAGTCAGTAGGTTGTGTTCAGTGTTCGTGTTGTGCCTGCTGCACAGTCACCAAATCAGTTACAACACAACCTAAACTGTGACAGTCACTAGTCAGTGTTGACACTCACACTACAGTTAGTGAACCAGTAATAAATATATAGAGAAGTGTTAATAAAGTAAGTAGACCTATAATCATTGAAAAATGCGTAAAAAACTTAGTGGAGCCGAGAGCCGCAAGCGGTTGGCTGTTGGCTCAAAGAAAACAAACTCAAGAAGCAGTTTTAAAGAACGTGAAATGTATTAACCATTATTTCCATTGATACGGAATTGAAAACTCCCTCCCGAAACAAAACTGGTAAAAAAAAAACACGCCAATGTATAAATATATATATGCATAGGCCTATAGTAGAACCATGGAAAAAACATGCTCCAGTAGAATCTCGTTCAATACGTGTGTAATGCAATGAACTGTACTGTACTGAACAGTAATCAAATCACTGCGTAGTGCATTAAGCTATTGGCGCAGGGCAAGAGGCATTCGCATAGCAACTACTGTCAAGTTCATTGCACTCACCCCAACCCCCAACCCACCTGCAGTGAATTTCGGCGAACTGATGAGTCAACCCCCCTTCCCTCTTCCCCTCTCTACACTGCTGTAGTCAAAACCTTTATAGTTTTATATATATATAAGGGGGGGGGGCGCTGCTTTTGGATTTGCCCAGGGCGCCACTGACCCTTAACGCGGCCCTGATTTATAATATTAGTAAGATAAGTTAAGATAAAAACTTTATGTATTCAAACTTCAATTCAAGTTTTTTGGAATTTACACTTCAGTCCTGAATTGTAAATTCTTACACATGAAGTGTGTGTGTAAACTGACCGAGTTCTAATAATAAGGTTTTTTTAGTCAATCATATGAAAGATATGTGTCAGGCCTTTTATAACCCGAGCTCAAACGTATCCATTGATGAGAGTACCATCAAGGGAAAGATTAAGTTTAAAGTCTACAATCCTACTAAGTTTGGCTTGAAGATTTATGTAATCTCTGACTCTGAGAATGGCTACATTTATAACCTTAGCCCTCACTATGGCAAAGTTGAGGAAAAAACCCTGTCACAGAATTTCTGAAAACTACTCAAACTGTAGTAAAATTGTGTGACTCGTTAGTGAAAGATCCTACAATTCCCCACTGGCCCCCATGTCTGGGTTGACAGATAATACAACAGCTCAGAGCTTGCAGAAGAACTTCTAAAACGAAAAATGTTTGTATCAGGAACTGTGATGGGAAATAGGAAAAAAATGCCTATTTTGAGTAAAACGACTGGAGAGATTGAGGGAAGACAAAATGATATGGGTGTAGTTTATTGGAAGGATAAACGGGCGATTACCATGATAACTACAAAGCATAAAATTAGTAAAAACAACATGGTTGTAGTCCTGAGTAAGAATCCAAACACATCTTTTGTTAGAAAGCCCGAACCGATCGCAGAGTATACCAAACGAATGGGAGGAGTGGACAGAGCTGACCATTTCATTGCAAATTACCAATTTATGAGGCTCACAAAAAAAATTTGCCAAAAGTTGTTTTTCTGGCTCCTGGAATCTGCTGTAGTAGATGCTTACCTTCTGTACAAGTTTCACCAGGAAAGTAACAACAAATCTTTAATGACACATTAGATGTTCCGCCATAGCTGATCGAGGATTTGGCACGGGATCATCTACAAAGCAAGAAGAGGATAGAAGCAAATTGATAGGATAGGAGGAATCCCACCTCACTGAAGAATACATTGGTTGGACGGGAAACAACACTTTATAAGCAGTTTAGAAAAACGAGCTAGTAGATGCGTGGTTTGTAACAAGAACAAACTACGAAATTAAACAGTCTACTTTTACAAAACTTGCGAAGGAAATCCTTATTCTGACAAATGCTTTGAGGAGTACCATTCAACATTAGACTTTGAACAAGAAAATACCAACAAAAACATTCACACTTTCAGTATGTTCTATTTTGCTATTGTTAGGTAAGTCCTTTTTAATTTTTGTTATAATAACAAAAAGAAACTAGCACGGACGCTTTCAATATGTTTTATTGTATCTTGATTAGAAAGGTATGTTTTGTGTTTTGGTAATAAAAAAGAAATAACTTCTTGATCAGCATTGTACGTGTTATTAAATTTACGGAAAGTAAATAAAAGATATCTATATATATATATAATCCAATGTATGTTTGTTTGTTTGTCCTTAATGGACTCCGAAACCGCTCGACAGATTGTAATGCAACTTTCAGGTATTATTACGCATTATTCAAGGACGGTTTGTGTGAAGTTTGGTGCAGATCCATCAAAAGGGCTCCACCCCAGTGGCTCTGGAGTTTCCCATGTTAACCTTATGAGTACTCATATTTAAATGGAATTAAAGAATCTTAACAGCTGGTTCAACTAAAGAATTTAGTTCTGTGATGTTCAATAGCATTAAAATTTTAATAGGTTTACCAACAGGGTGCGGCACCATTATTTTTTTAAATTTATGACAACAGCTAATTTGCAACCAAAAGGTGAGTGGGAACGAGCTAACCTGAAGGCAAGTGAGCGCAGTGAACGAGCTCCAACCCAAAGGTGAGTGAGCGTAGCGAACAAACTTCAACCAGGACGTGATTTAGCCATGCGAACGAGCTCATCTTGAAATTGAACGAGCATTTGACATAAAACCACATTAGGGCAGGACGACGCTTGTCGTGCCAGCTAGTGTCTTATAAAACTTAAAACATATATTTACGCTTATACTGTTACTCACAAGACGGTAAATATACAAAAAAGATGTTAAGTGGTGATCCATTTTGTTTGGACACTCCAATCATCATCAGACACAATCTACATTTGCCTATTGGGTCTGATGATGATTGGAGTGTCCAATGTTAATGTAGCAAGAAAAGTAGCTAAAATTCCGCTACAACTACTTAAATATTTTCCTACAGCTAGTTACAAAATCTTAAAAGTAGCGTTGCTACAGCTATGAGCTGACGCTACAAAAAAAGTAGCGCGCTACTTCCCAACACTGTGTATATATATATATATGGATCAATATTGAAGCGAGCGTTGAAGGTATATATACTCCACAATAATTAATTAATTAACTATAGTCATAAAACTTTTAAAATAATTATTTCGATTTCAAAAGTGTCCATAGCCAACTCAAACCATAAGATAAAAGTGGATCAACATAAAAATTTCTAAATAATTTTCTTAACTCCAACCAAATTATTAAACACGTTGTGAGTAGGGCTTTTTTATATTCTGTTCCTTTTTTTAGGTCAATTTGTTTTATTTTTCTCTAACATTTACTTTAATTTGTCTGATAATGACATGGCCTGATGTACTATAATGAGATTCTAATAAATGGATGACTAAACTACCATTTTGATAATTGGGGATTCGCATAGGTTTTTTAGACTACAACATAATTATGCGCTGCCAGTTATTATTAAAATAAGTATTCTTGTTTGGCAAATTAATTTAGTACCTAAATTAATTTATACCTGATAATTTAATAGTCTTAAGAAAATAATATTTAAACATATTTATTTAGTTTATGCAATGTAGCATAGTTAGAGAAACTGGATTTCTCTTTCCAATCAAGCTTGTTTGGAAATTTAATGATAACAGGTATATCATAATCAGTGTTAATATAACAGGTGTTAATAATATAATCAGTGTTATAACAAATCCTTTCGGTATTAACTATGTTTCCCTTATTAGTTTATCAGTGTAGTTATGGTAATAGACACTATTTACAACTAACACTATGTAGGCGTACATAAAGCTGTAATTAAAAGAATAATTTAAGTAGGCCAAATGAAAGATATGATGTTTTGTCGCCATAGGTTATGTTGGACTTATCAGTGAGTCTCGAAGACGTCGCATGCTCAATGCATTACCCACACCCATCATGTTTGATGATGTGGGCGATGAGATTATCCCAAAACCCTCACTGGATAATAAAGACCACACCAACCCATGGGGCTCCTTGGCAAAGACGTGGAGTCAGTTTGACAAAGTACGGAAACCCAGGCCTCCTTGTAAGTTCGAAACCAATCTATCATAGGTATAATAAAAAACCTTTTTGATGACTATTTTAATTTAGAAGTTGACATATGTTTTCTTAGCCTGCCACATTTATTTTCCACTCCAAGTGTATAGTAGTGATGTGTCAATTTACTAAAATTTAACAATTCTCACTACCAATAGCATTTTTGTATTGTTTTACCAAATTTTCTGAATGGATTGGTTATACTACACCAACCACTGTCTTCATATCCTTCTTTTAAGTATTTTAATGTAATGGAGTGTTTTTTTTTTTTTAATAACAGGAGAACACAGAGAAGGAATTACAAGATTGTGATCGTTACATTCTTTTTAAGAGTGTTTTTATCTCTAAATATAATTTTACATTTTTTTTTATGACTTGTCTAACATTTCTATGTTGTGATACAGCACCTACTGGTAGCGGTGGTAGCCTATCTGTCTTTCACGAGCAGTAGCTTACAACATCTTATACTGTAGTGTTTTATTATTTACGTTATTTAATATTGCTATGCAGTGTTTGGCTAGTTTTTTAGTAAGTTTGAGCTGTAATTTTAAACCTTGCAGTTTGTAGGCTACAACTGAACCAAGGTAAATGATTTTAAATGCCATTATTGTACAATAATAATAATAATTGTGTAATATTGAGTTTAGGTGATAAAAATGCTAATTGTGATGTTGATAGTTGTTTACACAGTATTACAGCATTTTTATGAGTTTTGTCTATGAATAAAAAATAAATATATTTGTAAATTAATTGGTGCTTTGATTATTTCCAGCGCCTGTTATTGAAAGGATATTGCCTCTACCACCACGTATGACACCACCTCCCTCTCCACCAATATTCAGCTCTCGTCCTAAACTGGTGGCAAGGCGGAGACCTGCGGCAGTTATCTCTCGACGAGCTAGCGACGACAGCAGTGGCAGTGAGTGGTACACCCGCAGCAAGAAGCCTCGCATGCGCATGCATGCTGATGACGAGGAGAAGAAACTGAAGAGGGTGAGAAGGCAGAGGTAAGCATGTAACAATGCTCAAGAAATAAGTGTCAAGTTCGCGAACCAGCATGATCGGACTATGGGAATGGGGGTTAATGTGGGGTTTTGTGGGATAAAATTGGTTTTTCTCATTTTTGACCCAAAAACATAAAATTTAACAATTTCTTTCCAAACCATTTTGTAGAGCTTAAAAAAAAAATAGTTTGGTATATTGAAGCTTTATTATGCGCCTAATGGTCACGGAGAAAATTCCAAAAAATTTGTAATAAAAAATTCCCATGTTATTCTTATGGAGAATAAGTAAACAGTTGTAGTTTGCTTGTTTATGAACATATTTTGATCAAATTTGGAAAAAGCATTTATATCTTACTAAACTATTAATATTTGAAAAAACCCTCCCTGTTGCATCAAACCTAAGTACTCGTTAAACTAATTATACTTAAATAGGGAATAAATGTGATATTTTAAGGAGACATTTTAGTGTAAATCCAATCAGGCAAATAGAAATTCGCTTAGTCTGCAGGCTTGCTGCGGCAGGGGTATTTGTTTATACATTCGAACTACTTAACAAGTGCTTGGATTAGGCGGTATAGTAGTACATCTTCCTGCTGCAAAGCACGGGTACAGCAGCTAGTAAAAAACTAAAATGTAATTATGTCTGCTATTATTTAAATTCACAATCACAACTAAGCTAAAGCCAAATAAATCATTGCATGGTTTTAAAGTTATATGCCTTTCAACAGATCAGAGTCAAACTCTCCAATTCGTCCCCAAGATCTTCGAAAACGACTTGTGGCTGGAGGATGGGAAGGGAAAGGCAGTCACAGCCATCGTAGTGATGGTGAAGACAGCTCAGACCCAGAACCAGTGGTAGAGGAGCCAGAAGAGGAGGATGAAATACCCGACCTGAGAGTAGCTGTGGCGGCTGAGCGAGCCGACTCTCCTAAGGACTCCAAGGCAGGAATCCGGCAAAACTTATTCCAAAGTGGGAATGTCAAGTCCGTCCTACGAGGAGCAAGGGGGCACAGCGAGAACGATGACGACGAAGAAGAGGAAGAAAGTGAAGATGATAGGAAAAAGTTATCGAGAAGACATCGAAGCCGTTCTAAAGAAAGGAGGAGACATCATAGAAAACACAAAAAGGAGAGTCACCACAGGATTAGAAGAAGAAACAGTGATTCAGACAGTTATGAGAGGACAAGCAAAACTATTAGAAGCACAATAAAAAGAATCAGTCCAGAAAAAGAAAGACGAAGATCAGAAAGTAGAGATAGGAGGAGGGAGAAAAGAAGTCCAAGGCATGAAGAAAGGAGGAAAAGAAGAGAAGAAACCTATGGAAGATCAGAAGCTAGCCGAAGACCAGACAGAAGAAGACATGAAGAATCTCGGTCTGGCAAGGACCTACGAGCAAAGCTCTCTCATAGGCATAAAGAATTTGATTCTAACAACGAATTCCGTTCCAAGTCTCCATTACAAATAGAAATAGATAATGATGAATACTATGGGACAGTTGAAAGTGACTAGTAGTAAATAATTAATTGTATACATTTTAGGGGTTTTCATATAGATAGTTTTGTAAATAATGGATGAGCTTGTTAGGTTATATCATTGACTTTGGATACTGCAAGTAGACTTATTCTGAAGCCTGTTTTGATGTGTGATTCGTGCTCAGTTTTGTTTGAGTGAGCTGATCTCCCTTGTCTTCAGGCAAATTTTACACTGAGTATTTTACTCCTTGGTTTGAATACCAGAAGAAAGGTGAAAGTAATTTTTTACATAGTTCATTAATTCTATTCAATCAAATGTAAAAAAAAAATAGAAGACATCATAGCTTCTAAGGGTCTTTGGTTAATGTGTAAGGGTGTGTTATGATAAACATTAAAATTATCAATAATCATCATTTATCAATCTTTGAGATGAAGCGCTACCTGGGTGCTTATTTCAGCCCAAATATGAGTGAAGGATGAGTGTAGAATGGGGTGAGATGGTCTGTGTAGCTTTGTTACTGACTAAGATTAGTTGTTTCACTAGCCAGGATCATTTATTTAAAGCCAGGGCCAGGAACAGCTTACAGGAAAGTCCAGTTACAAACAAACCAACAAAAAGCTAATGACTCCAGGATCGAACCGGCAACCTTTTGATTGTTAGGCGAGCACTATAACCACTCGGCTACCCAGCCGTTTTATCTATGCTTATCTACAGTTATGTAGGCCCTGCATCAATTCTAGTTAATATTTCTTTAGTGATCTCTCTCCCTCTCTCTCTCTCTCTCTCTCGCTCTTACAAATCCGGCCTGGATCATAGTATATACAGATTTTTGGGGTGTGACAATACGATACCCGAGCTAATACTAAACTATAAACTGTGTTTAAAACATACTTCAGTACATGATAATACCTTATGTAGGCAACTGTGAATAAATGTACTGTGCTTCCCATCAGAAAACCAAAAACATTTTCCACAAAAATCGTACAAAAAGTAATTTAAAAAATTAAATTTTTTCTTGAGCCGAACCATAAGGAAAAATAAGTTTACAAGTTTTAGGTTTCATCTACGATAATATCGGTAGGATTGCTGATTGCAAAACCCCTTTTTAAGTTAAGTGAGAATAATGTTTGACGTTTTAGAATAATTATTGGCATGAGTAAGTTTTTGGATACTGTGGAGTCAGTTGTGTACATTTGGAACACTTTTTGTACATTATTTTATTTCATTTGTAACAAATTTTTATGTGTTGTTCAATAATTATACATTTTGAAGTGATTAAATCAATCCAATGTCTATATCATGAGTCTACTGATTATTTTTAAAATATTTTTTTTTAACTATTTAATTATTAATTATAATTAATTATAATTATTATTAATTTAATTATTATTATTTAATTATTAATTATTTTAATTGTTTATTTAATTATTTGCATGGTATGATGAAAAGTTAAAATTATGATATTTTGGAATAATTATTGGCACAATGAGAATTGTTAATTTTTTTAATAACTTTTTGGAAACTGTGGAGTTGATTGTGTTCATTATGGTAACCATTTATGTACATTATTTTATTTTTAACAGATTTTAATGTGTTATTTAGTAATTATACATTTTGAAGTGATAAAATCAATGGCAATTAAATATTTATTAATTGATTGTGAACATGACACAATCATCAATCCTTTAAGCTAAAATTCTTTTATTACCTCTTCCCCCCTCATATAAAATGTAACATGGTTTCTAATGACAGTTGTACAAGGAAGCCAAGTGGCCGGTCATAAGGATGTTTTTCAAAAGAATGTAACCCCGGTTTTAGATTACAGTTGCATGTAATATGTTAGAGACAAGTCAAATTTCTGTTAAGGAATTTTTTTGAAAACGGTTTGAGTTCAGCTTACTAACCTGAGTAAAGTCTTGGGGCTATTAGATGCATAATAACAGTTAACAAAACACAACACTGATATTTCATCCCAATAACTATGCACAACTATATTACTTATATTTAACAATCATTACTCCAAGTGGATAATACATCCTTATTTTTAAAAGTAGGCTAAATTTTTGTAAGCACAGTAGACTCCCTCTTAACTAGACTCCTCTGGAACAATACCAGTCCGGATAACGGGTTTTCCGGTTAAACCGACGTCCCCAAAAACTTGTTAAAACAGACCTTTTGGATGCATACTGTATACAGTATTTGATTTAAATTAAGGTGAGCATTGTATTTAGACACATGATCACCGTTCTCAAATCTTTCCCACGAGAACAGTCGTTTCAGTACCTCCCACTTCCTGCCGATCTAGTCCGGTTAAACCGATGTGCTGATGACAATTGTCTAGTTAAAGAGATGTCATTTTCTCCAAGTGTAGTCCGGTTAAAAGGTGTCCGGATAAGAGGGAGTCTACTGTATTAACAAGCTGTTCTAGTAGCATAGACTAACAAACACTAGCAGTACCCCTCCTCAACTCTTTAGGGAAGTAAATGTTTTGCACTACAAATCCTATGTTTTGTTTTCTACTTTAATCAGTGATCATAGGCAATAAGACTAAGAGGGGTCTTTAACTCAAGTCCTTCAGTCTTAGTTTTATTTAATGTTGAACAGCAGCAGTTTTTATTGGTTGTTTTTTTTAAGAAACCCACTGCCATGGACTGATTGATTTTTTTAAAGGTAGCTATAAAATTTAGTTACCACCGTATCTAATTAACTGTATTTAATATATCCACCTAAGTCTCTTGATTTTAAATTAAAATTAAAGAAAGAAATTACAACTTTATGTGAAGTCTGATTTTAAAAGGAATAATTCACTAGAGGTATAAAAGTAAAATGCTGCTATAAAGACCTACTCCATGTATTCCTCCATGAAACTTTGTAAGCTGTAAGTCAACACAGAGTGCTGCAGCCTGGGGGCCAATGTAATAACTATCCAAGATGGCGGCCGTCGTAGTTACCAGCGCCGTCAACAGGTACCGCCACACTCGGCAACAATGTAGGCCTGTTATTAAATGGGAGGTCTTATCCGTAATTTCCCCCGTACAGATAACGGCGAGCGAATAGGAATGAAAAAAGATGAAAACCGAACGAAAAGTCAAATTATCGAGGGGAATATAATTTGAGGCCGTAGAGGGGTGATGGAGGGAATAGGAATAATTGTAGACGACCGCTGTTTTGGTTAGTCTTGTCTCGGTAGTTGGGTGTATTGTATTGTTGACCGTTGTGAGTGTGGAATGGAAGAGAGCAATGGCGAAGGGGAGGTTAAAGAAAGAAGAAGATCGACGGAGAGCAACGATTTAAATGTAAGTCCGGATCAAAAACAGGTTTAGATTTATCGAAAGGTCGAGACTGGCCAGAGACCGTGTGCCAAAAGATATTTCAATGTCAATGAATAGCCTGGGTGTGCGCTGTTGTTGGTTATGAATTGATTGTGCGCGGGGGCCGTCAAACGTCAATCAAAATGTCACGACAAAGGCACACGCCCGCAATGTTACTACTGTAGTCTACAGTGTTTACAACCATCTAGTGCTGTGTTACTGAGTATTTCAACGCCACCCTGTTTAATTTAACCTAAAACAGATTTAAAACCGTACAATTATTTGCTTTAGTAAAGTGTAAGGAATTCTAACTCTACCTTATAGGTTTGTGAAAACGTACTAATACTTACCATACTTTATGAATGGGTACCATTGGGATATACCAGCTTAGTTGATGAATTAAAGTAGGTCTAATAAAACACATGCAAGACATAGACACCCTTAAGCTCTAACAAAATAAAAATTCAAGTTCAAGACAAACTATATTTGGAGACATGTTACACTTGATTTGTCAAATGTAGGCTATAGGCTAAATCCTAAAGTGTTTTTATTTATATAAATTAATAACTTTTTGTTGGTTGAAAATCAAAATTGTATTTTAAGTCTTCGGCCAATAACCTGCTGAACCACGAATCAATACAAAACCCAAAATTTCACAAAAATTAAACAAACAGCGTTTCACAGCTGTGATGTGGTGTAAAAACCTGTCGGTTGATATTTCGTACTAAGAATAACATTATGAAGTAGTTAGTTTCAAAAAGAGTGCTAGCTGTGTACCAATAACTTACTTGTTATTTTTACCAATAACTCAATTCAATATAATTGTGCTTCACTGTTTAAATCGCTTCACATTTTGAAATGTAGGACTGGGTACACTATAAATAAATTAGTTTGTGTATAAGTTGACAGCATTAAACATTTACAGCATTTACGACAAACCATCCGAATTTCTCAAACAACATATAGTGAATATTGATTGAATAGTGTGACAGTGCAGTATTACACAACGAACTGAACAGCGTAAATTATCGTCCTTTTCCACACCTGGATTAATTCATTCTCCAAAAAATTAGGAACGTCAATAATGCTTCCACTAGTAAACACGTTGCTCGAAATCGAGCAATTGCAAAGAAGTAAAGTAGTTATTTTAAAACAAATAAAACTCATCATAATTTCCGATGAGTTTGAAAGAATTTGAAATAAAAAATAACAGCAATTAATACAGCTGATCAAAATGTAAACAATCTTGTTCTTCATAAGGATAACATGGGAACTAACAGCCACTGGGGCAGAGCCCAAGGGACTTTTTCAAAAATGTAAGGTCAGTTTGCAAATCTACGCGACACGCTCTTTCCAATGAGACGTCAATCGATAAAATCGGTTAAGAAATGGCGGAGGAGTTCAACCGACAAAGTTTCATGTAGCGTATTAATTATATAGATAACACTTAAATTTGCTTAAATTACAAAAAGTGCGCGTCTGTGTTATTTGTAAAATAATAGTATTATACTCAAAAACTTAAAATGAGAGTTATAGATATAATTGATAATCTGCTATATTATAAACAAAACAGTTCCTTTACAATAGCCTACATATAACAAATAACGACTGAACCGATCATGTGTGGCCCACTAACAGTGTAATATTCAGCAGAGCAGAGCATAGAGCTTGTCTTTACACAATACACCATATACGCAAACACAATGAACAACAGTAGATTACACACCTACTGCAGCCAAGATAAATAAACTTCAGAAATTAATCATATTTGTTTATTTACATTCCAAAACTTCTTCAGTTAAAGGAGTTTCTCTTGAAAAACATGCAATGGCCAAAAGAGCCATTTCTTTATTATTGTAATTTTACATCCCTTTAAAATAACATGTATATTTGCTTAAATAATATGGCAATAGTTGCATTAAAAATTATGTTTGAATAGGGTTTATTGTAACTTTTAGAATCCTTGTTTTTATAAGAATGTTAAGGATCGATTAGGATTAACATCCAATCCATATAAACGTATGTTTAGTAAACTAGTGTTTTTATATTTTGAATACATTGAATATTGTTTAAGGTATTAGTTATATGGTACATTTAACTGAAGATTTATTTAAAAATAAAACAAATACTTCCAATGGAGTATCCTCTAAAATGGTGTAGACTACACTTCACCGAATACCAAAAATTAACCTATAATTAAATTTTGCCAATTGGTTGTACTGTAGTGCTTGAACACAATATGCTAATGGAAAATAACGCTGTCAAGTGATCTTTCCTTACTAAAATAACACATGAGAAATATAAGTTTTAGTTATTTACACAAAAACTAAAAGTGAATGGTAAAACACACAATACTAATCGAAACTTAAGTAACTGTTCCTTAACGTTTCAATAGTTCTACTTGATACCAATTATTAAATGTCCTCTGATTTCCCAGATACACAGCCAAGTTTTTTGCACGTGGCACCATCAGTAACTTTAAAATACAACCTTCCTCTGAGCTCTGACTAGCACATTCGCGTTCATTATCTGGGTGAATTTTATGATTATCGTCCACTAAAGATGAGTAGACCAAGTAATCCACATAACCACACAAAAAAATGTCCAGTGGACTTAATATATGGCAACCTGACATGCCAACAAACCACACCATATGACCTACCATTACCATCATTATCATCCAAGTTGTGTATTTTTCATTAACCAATCTTGCACATCGTTTGAATGTACCAGAGAACTAACACCGTAAAAGATAACTATTTAGTTCGTTATCAACAATGAAAAAATAAACTCTAAATGAAGATTTATCACAAAATATACGTTCATAAGGTTGCTAATCCTAGCAGATTCTCAATAATCTTATTAGGGATTTTTACAAGGATTCTGCAAATTACAATAAAACCCATAATTTTAATTACATTAATTTAATTATATTTATTAACATTTTACGTTGTAAATTTTTTTAAATTTTTTTAAACATTATTTTTAATGCAGCAGTTGCCATATTATTTAAGCAAATACATGTTTTATACAGGAAATTAAACTCGCCGTTCCGTTTTTTTTTCAAGATAAGAATAAAAAAACAAAGAAACAGTAAGTTTTTATTCATCATTTTAAAGTTTATGGGTTGAAGAAGTTTTTTGAAATGTTTGACACTCTCTATTGTCTAGTTTAGCATAGAAAAACTTTAATGGACTATTTAAAAAAATCACAAATTCAAGCTTCCATTGCAGAAGGCTTATACTAATACCTTGCTTATACAGATGTTTTATCTATACGACTCTAAACTATTACATGTAGTGAGGATTCTGAAATACCAATAACGCCAAAATAAAAACAATGTTTAGTGCACTTATGGCCATTTCATGTAAGCAAA